ATATATATATTAGGGATAAAAACAAGTGATTCTTCTTGACTCATTAAAGGACTTTCATTTCGTATGAAAGTGCATGAAGAAGAGATGCATAAGTCGATCTCACCAGAAGAGGATGGCTGAATTTCGTTGTACTGCAGCCGTTTGGCTTTTATGCGACGTTGAGATCGACACGGTCCACGAGACCTCCTCCCTCGCTTTGGATGAAAACGGGCTGGGCTTTCGTCCATCATTTGATGGACATAATCAAAGCTGGAAATCATTCTTGTAAAAGGCTCAAATTAACACTATGGCCATTTCGCTGTACTGCCACAGATCGCAGCAAATGGCGTTTAAGGTGAGCCAAGTCTCGCCAAAATCACATTTCATAGTGAGATTTTCGTAGAGGCAAATGAGCAATTGTCTTTTTAATGGTTAGCGTTACTTATTTTTTGTGTGAATATGCCTCGAAAATATCAGTCATGCCTGAATTAAAGCTTAGTCATCCTAAGATCGCAAGGGAAATTCCAATTTAAATCCTTAAATCGCCTAGGATGATTAAAGTTCTTAATCAAGAATTACTGATAGTTTCGAGACATACTCGCATAGAAAAGCTTGCAACTTTGCTTTGGCCGTCTCGAGACTTAATCTTTTGCGTTTTTGTCTCTGTGCCCTCTGCCAAACGAATGCTTGCAGGCAAGTCGTCTGGCCCCGAGGCGCTAAGAAAGTCAGTCCCTTTCCTACCTTTTTCGAAGAATTGTCCGATTAGCTCGTCCCACCTCCGAACCTGAGACTAGCCTCATTCAGCCTCAGCTGATCCCGTCCTCCCACCGCCCCAGTCGACTCCTTTTTCCTCTCCTCTTGGCTGTTTTGACTCATCTCTCGTGCGAATTCCTCTTCGTCGCCCATTATCAGTCCACCTCCCGGCTGTGCTCTCAGACTAGGCGATCTCAGCGTCCTGAGTACCCTCTTCTTCATGACCCCTCCTCTTCTCCAATGCCCCAGTTTCACCCGCTCTTTGGGTTTCTTCTACCACAAAACCGTTTCGAATGATCCATCCACATCCGCCCAGCCCTTTGGCCTATTCTCCAGCGTCTCGCCTTGCGTTGCCACTTGCCCAAAAAATTGTGATGTCACTGGATTCCTACACTTTGGAGCTGGGCAAATAATGCTGTAGCTTAATGAGAAAACGTCCATGCATCTGTCTACCTATGCGTACGTGTGTAGATGTGTGTGTGTGTGTGTGTGTGTGTGT